AATTTAGCAGAGCACTGTTCCACGCGATCGGTGCTCAAGTATCTCGAATAAAAATTGACGGGTTGAATTGAAATTGGGTGTAAAAGAGACGTTGGCCCACAATGGAGACGTTTCTTGTATTGGCAGCGATCTGTCGGTCGATCAATGCCTGAAGTGCCATTATGTCATCAAGTGCCAATGCGCAGAATGGTGCACGTAAGTATCGGGACCGCGTCCGATATTTTCATAATCACGAACGGAACGATAATAATGGCTGTCGCAATTTACGATCCCTGGAAAAGGCCATTACCAGGCCCGTGGAAGTGCGGCAATTCCCGCGTTGCCGCCGAAAATCGCGAATCATTCCACTTAACGATCACGTTTCACTCGTTTACTTATTAGTTCTTGGAGCGGAGAGTTTGTACACGCGGCTATGACACGTTTATTGTCATGCAGATGGAGAATAACGCGATTCGACATGACGGCAATGGGTGCCGTATGTTTTTATTTTTATGCGCTGAACGCGAATCCAAATAATGGCACTTCTATGTTTCTCACAGTTTTAGAGTTCACATTGGAAAAGTAAATTCAGTTTCCACATAGTAATCTTTCTTTGAAAAAAAACGTTCATCTTATTAATTATATAAAAATTGAAAAAAATAGATAATTTTTAATGAAATAATACAGCACAATAATCAAAGTGTAATGCTTACTATACTAGGATATTGTATGCTCGCCAAAAATTAGTCTGTTCCGTAAGATTTTTACTAAAATATTCTCAAATTATTCTCATTGACAGTTTTAGAGTTTTCTTTGGAAAAGAAAATTCAGGTTACAAATTTGGGAATTTTTTGTGTTTCAATCGTAGCAGTGAAATGATTTTGTGAAGTGTCCTGAGTACTATGATATTTATTTTTGCGATATAGTTGGAGCAGTGAATTTCAAACAGAATTTTCTGCACTTTATCCGTGGAAACTGTAGATATTTTTTCCTATACGAAACAGTTTATTTTAATAATATTAATTTAATATTGGCAAGATACATCTAATTATTGAACACTCGATCTTTGATTTAAGTACGAAAGTTAGACAAATTTTTGTTCTACAAAATTATTTATTTAAGCAAGAATCTGTCATCTATCAATTTTATAAAATTTTAAGCTTTCTTAAAGCTGTGCAAACTTTTCTTCTGCAAAACTATTTGCAGATTCCTCCGAATGGAACAATATATTCTCGTAATGTTATAAACAGTTAGATTATATTCAAACAAAATTGTTTATTTTAGCGAAAGTCTGTCATTCACCAATTCTATCAAATGTCAAATTTAAACATTTTTCATGATTTAATCACATTTTTCTAACTGTAATGACATACATACATTTATAATGTTATAAAATATAAAACGGAACATTAATAATAAAATTGAATATCTTAAATATAATTCATAAAATAAGTTAATATCAACCGCAATTATATATTAGTATCAGTGTGCATATTAATATCATTATATCAGTGCAGATCAGAAATGACTCCGGTACAGGCGGCCGCGTTTCAGCAGTCGGAATGATAATCAAGACCCTGGAAATTAGTATAAAAATTCAATCAATCGACTTCAAATAATTCATTTCCTCGATTAACAATTAATGAAGCCGAAAAGCTTTTGTGGAAGTATATTCGTTAGATTGATTAATTTCTGTATAATATGTACTTAATGCAAATGCATTCTTGCAGCTTGAGTAGTATCAAATCACTTTGTTATTTACCGTGAGTCTAATGTCGAATGCATTTTTCTAACATCGTGACATTCGATATCTCTCAAGAACATTCTTTATCGCGTTGTAACAATGTTTCGCAGTCACCTACTTTGATACGAGCGGAACAGTAAACACTGTTTTATTGGCTGCGCATGATAAATTTTGTGTGGGTGTCGCTGCACATTTCATATTTCACAGGTGAGCGCGTTTACGGTTACGATTGCGAACAAACATGATCATTTATCGGGCGATGTGTTAGTTAGACAATGAATTGAAAAATAAATTGGCCTTACATTACTTTGTGAAAAATGCCTCTCTGTGAACTATAGATCACTAAGGACATTTGGTAAATAATTTTCTATGTAAAGTAAAATAAAATAACAATAAAAAGAAATAAAAGAAAATAATAATGTATCTTAGCTGTAGATTAATTTCGTTTTTTATACATATAATAATGTTGTTGTAGTAGCGAAGACTAAGTATCTGTAAAAACGGCACCAAAAACTTCAATGGAACTTATTATTATAGAATTAAATAATAAAAATAATTAATATGTTGCTTAATTATTTATTGCAATTCATGATACAAATAAATTTAATTTCTAGCAATTTTAAATCCAAATGAATTTAATTTTAGTCACAATGCTCAAAGATTGCTTTGTATTCCTAGACTGCGAATATTTGTGCATTTCTGACAGAAATGAACAGATCGAAAAGAAAACTTCCGAGACGTTAAAAAATTTGAAGATATATCAAAGTAATTATCAACTTGTTAAAGTTATTTAAAAAAGGAGAGACTGTGTAGCTTACAATTAACTTCGATCATTTTTAGTTTGCATAAAAATCAACAGTCTAATTATTATGTACTATGCATTTATTTTATTTACAGTTATCGTTTTACAAAGATTGTTATTTATTTGTATCAATTGCATTGAGAAATTACTCGAATCAGTAATATTAATAAGTTGAACGTCGGTCACCAATGACTTCCACAATGCAAGATTAGGTCAGATTAGGTCAGGTTAGATCCGGGCTAGCGGAACATTATTTGTATCAATTGCATTGAGGAATATGAATAAATTGAACGTCGGTCACCAGTGACCTCCACAATCCAACAAGATGCCAATTATGCGCCGGTTATTGGCGATCTCTTCTATGCCACAAATGACAATTCAACTGTCTGTCACTGGTAACGTTTGCGACAATTTACGCATTCAACGATCAACGGACACTAATAACTAGATTGCGGTTTTTTATGCAAAATAAAAAAATCGTCTGCGTCAATTGCATGGAACAGATACCAAGTAGCAACTTGATTCGTTCTTTAATCATCATGATGAACTGAAAACGATACATTGACGTTTCAAAATGTTTTACATTTTTACACTATTTAAAATTGTAACTTTTTAAGTTTTACAATTAACTATTCTAATTTATAACAAATGCATAAAATGGCGAAATAAAAGACGGAATAGTGGACTGGTGACCGTCGCGCGGCTTTTCATTCACAGAATTCTTCTTCTGTTTACACCGCGACGGACGCCGCTGGGAGACAAGAAAATAATGTCACACGCATTGTGCTTTTATAAAATTCAACGGTACAATTTAATTTATTATCCAATATCATTCAGTAATCGAAATCATTGTCGGATCTGTCAACATTTGACAGTGGAAAATTATAATAAGATTAATTACGAGCTTATCGTCCTTTTACAAGAACATTTTAGTACATTAATAATTATGAAAACGCTGCATTTGTTTCAAAATTTTCACACAGCAATTGAAAGAAATTTGTCATTATCAAATATCCACTTTGTAAATACTTAAATTCTTTGGCCCTTACACTCCAGCAATTTGGCCTAAATCATAGTAACAATATTCATCTATGAAAACAAAAAAACTCACAACTATTATTACACTTTAATCGCGTGAACAGCAATGTGTAATCAGATCGCAAGTAATCAGAAACTGTGGCCTATTCTGCAAAACAGTCGAAATATGATGAAACAAGCATGAATGTGTCACCTGTTAAATTTTCTCGATAACTTATCATATTTCCGCGCACTGCTGGGTCTTTTAATCGGGAGCATCGAGTTCCTAATCGACCGCAACTCTATCTCCGAATACTGACGCAATATTCAAGTTCATTCAGTTCTTCTCAAAGAATTTCTGTATCTACAACTTTTGCAGTCGTTTGTACGACCGAACATTTACGACGAATAAACGTCACAGGACCCCTTGACGTACCATTTTCTTCATATTTACACTAAATCGAACTTTGTCGACTCTAATAACGTTTCGGAAGGAAAAGAAAATTCATATTTATGCTGTGCACACATTTATTTGAAGGTTTATCATTTTTAGTGCCGAACAACGATACATCATCGTTGGCCACGCTTGAGAGAATGTTGTTTCCTTAATAAACAACAGTTTTATCTCTTAATTTATATTGCTGTTTTCATTTTCTAATTATCAGATTCCACATTTTTATAATTTCTTTTTACGGAACGTTGTCAAACTAAATCAAACAGATTTGGTATTTTTCATTGAGGGAAATGCGACTTTTTCGATTGGCACTGACAGGATTAAATATTGACGACATGAAAAATAATTATTCGCAGTCAACGAGTTATTACCAGACTGCCGGCTTTACGTATTTCAAGCAATTTCAAGCAATGATGATTTGATATTATATATATATATAAATTCTTTTAATATCATCATTGCTTGAAAGTAAATATTAAATATTATATAATATTGAGTTGAAAGTAATATCTAAAAACACATAATAATATCTAAATATATAGATGTCCTTATAAACACATAATATCTAAATACATAGATGTCCTTATATATATATAAGGACATCTATGTATTTAGATATTATTATGTGTTTTTAGATATTACTTTCAACTCGCCGAAATTATCCAAGGAAGAACATTTTATTTCACTCAAACCGATTGCACTTGACGAGGATAAGCTCTATTTTGCATAAAGATCCTAACCTTGACATAACCTCGTCAGTCTCAAACACGTCAAAATGCGGCAAGAAGTTCAAACAGCTCTCATCATAATAGCTGTCCTCTACAGCGGGCGGAGAACACGTGTGCCATACGACTACGCCGGGCGTCTATTATGACCGCGAACGCGTCTCAAGTTTCCTGCCTCTCGAAACAGTGAGAAATGAAATCGAACATGGCCGGGAGAGCGTTAAACAAATTCACTGTGAAACATCGCGGAAATAGAAGAGAACAGTTTACGAAACTCACCATCGGATGGGAATCCATACCGGGTGTTATCGAAAGGTCCGGCGCTTTGTCACCGAAACGTAGCCGGCGCGTGCCTCGTTGCGGGCCAGACCGTGGAGACCACGCGGCGTGCGCGTGCACTCGCTTAGGAGCCGTGAATATCTGCGGGCATACACAACGTCGCACCTTCTGTTTTCAGAACACCACTGCAGGAAACGTAGGAACGGTCGAGAAACCGCGTCGAATTCTCACTGGCGAGTGTCACGGAACACGAGAGCCGGCGCGCGGCACGGGCGTCGCGATCTAAACGAGAACCTGTCACGGATTATACGAGGCAATCGTCGTCGGCGCGCGCGCACACGTCGCCGGTTCGCATTCAAGCGTCACAGGCAGTCGACAAGTTCATCGAGAGGAGACACACTGTAGAGGCTGCACAGTTCGCGCAGATCGTTCGCAGAGCTGTCAACGCGGAAACGACACGGCACCGTTCTCGTACGACGCCCGGCGTCGCGGCGTCGCGAGTGGCAACAGCGGTAGCGCGCCTATTTTCGAAGCCGCGCCGTCGCGCTAAGCGATAAGGGAGAGGACGAATCTCGAGCGACTAGGGACACACACTAGGGAGACGAGCGAGACAGCCAGAGCCCGGGCGAGCGCGCGTTCGAACCGATGCGATGCATCGCGGCGGCGCGATTCGAGCGAACTATTCGCCCGTGTTCGCCCGTGTTCGACCGGCTTCGGCTAACCTCGGCCCCCGTCGACCGGCCCGGTCTAGTGCGCGGGCGGCTACAACCGACGAACCGACCGACAACCGCGACAATGCTCGGCCGAGATCGGCCGACGGCCGCCCATTCGGATGTCCATTCGGATGCTCGCCGGGACGCCCATTCGGAATCTCTCTGTCAATGGACCCCTTCAATTTCGGGCACCGTAACTGTTGTAATTCGACTGCGGACGCTGTACGCGCTCGTGACAATAATTAATTGGCCTGTCTTAGTCGGAGAGGAACAAGAGAAGATTCGGTTTCTATACAGTTCTTACTGTTTCTTTCATCGTCGCTCGGTTATTTACGCACACTGTGCATTTGTTCGTTATTAACACGTTGGCTGCCGTGGGGGTCACCGGTGACCGGCACTCGACTTGGCTACAGCGCGTGGGGGTCACCGGTGACCCGGCGATGCGACAAATAGTTAAAATACATAATTAGGGTAAACATCGATACTTATAAATTTCTAAATAATACCATTGTTTTTGTAATGCTTTGAAGAAATGAATGCCGTATAGAACATGCAAAAATAATTTTATTAATACAAGGAAATATACATGTCATTTGTGCGCATAACGATGAAGCACATCGAAACACGGTAGGCACAGAAAAGGTGAACCAGAACAGTCAGCACAATATGTCGTCACTTTCTTAGCGCAATTTTTCGCTCTCATTTTTCCTAGCTGTTTTGTATTTTTTTCATAACACAATTTGCAAAATCGTCTTATATTTCGCATACTTCCCGGTTCCCTTTTAAGTTCATGACGACGTTTTTTCTGTACGTAATTGCTTAGTGAAGTGCAATCTTCATCGTTAGGACATTTCACTAAATACATCGCTAACTTCATCCTAAACTCGGAGATTGAAATATAATCGCAAAAATGGTCTGCGGCGCCTTGGGGGTCACCGGTGACCCCCGCCACGAAAAATGCATAAAACAAGTTTATACAACTAAACTTATCTGCTGTAAATAATATTTCAATATAATGTGCATCGCATAATGAAAAATTCATGTTGGCGCCTTGGGCAAGTCACGTAAAAATCGCGCGGCAGCCAACGTGTTAATTGCTACTACACCGCGGATATTTATGCAAAATCAAAATTGTCTGCGTCAATTGCAAGGAATGGAAACAATGTAGCAACTTCATTTTTCCTTTAATCATCTTAATGGATGAAAAATTATACTTTGATGTTTTAAAATGCTTTTAATTTTTACACTATTTTAAATTGTAACTACAGAGCTGCGTAGGGCGTCTACCGGGTGGACATTATGATTCTGAGCTACAATGGCGTCGCGACAGTTCAGAATTATAATGTTCACTCGATGGACGCTCCACGCCGCTGTGCGGGACTCGCGCGCATGCGTCGCATGCCCCCACTCCTTGCGTAGTGACTTTTCCTGCGACCCTGTTTATAATCCTTTAGAAGCTTTCTTATCTGTGATAACGCTTTAATTTGTTAAAACAAGAAAGCTGAAATAATAATTCAAACAAGAAACCAAAAATACTGTACGCGAAACGAGTGTAATTTAAAATTGACTTACCTGAAATTTTGACAATATGGCAAGGAGAATAATGAAGGGCAAAACTGTTGCGATTGTCGGATAAACGCTAACTGAAATAGTTTTGCCTCAAATCGGTCTTAATATGCATTGAGATCAGTTTGTAAACATTGAAACCCTCTTTTTAATAAGAAAATATTGTTTTTTGACTTTAGAGTCCTAACCTCTCCAATCTCCTCTGTTTAACCCAAATGATTAAACCATTGCAACAATTTTGAGAGTCACTGTATGGTTTCTGAAGTGTATTATTTATTTTTTTATACACACCATTAGGTATGAATATTATAATGAATATTATATCATTCTATTTTATAATGATTGTTATACATCAGTTTAAAGTTTATTATTAATAATATATTTTTTTATACCTGTCAGTATCTCTCTCAGTGTACATTCCATCCTAAGCCAAAATTTCTAATATTCTCTTTTATAATGTATATTATACATATATTCTCTTCTATAATGAAATTACATATTCTACTTTATTTACAATTTTACAATTACAAATAACTGTTAGTTCGGGTCCCCGGAATAAATGTTCAATCCAATAAAAATTTATCCAGATAACAATTTATTTGGATAGGAATTTAATCGAACGAGATTTTATTCGAATAAGAATTCGTTCGGAAAATAATCGATTTGATTAAAAACGATAGAATATAAAGTAGTTTTTCATAGTTTATTGATTAATTTCTTCCATGTTGAATTGTACAATTAACTTGTGTGAAATATGTGTTATTTTTGGGTGGATTGACCACTGACGCATAACTAAATAATCGTACCACTGGTCCAGACGAAGTCATCTTCCATTCGACGATTCATGTTCACAACTCGTGCTCACATGTTTGGTTCATGTAATCTTTCGCGTTGTCATAACAAAACAAGAAGTATACGCCCATATACTATCATCAGCACAGACGCAGAAATTATACTGATTCTGAATGCGCATAATTTGCTTAATGAAATGTATTCGTTTAAATATATTCTTACAAATTACGTAAAAACAAAAACAGTCAAAAATCATTCGCATTATTATTCGAATAATTTAACGATCTCTATTTGAATAATTTTTCCGAAGAAACAATAAAAAAATATTCGGATAAATGGATAGAATAATTTGTTGCGAATAATGAATAATTGTTATTCGAATGAAATATTTGTTAAAAAGAATTCATTCGATTAATTATTTTAGATAAATATTTATTCGAAACGAATAATAATAATGCCCGGCTGCTTTCAATTGTGTTGCTGTCGTTTCCTCGGGATTGCTGGCTACAAAAATACGTCGCAAAGTGCGTACAAATCAGTCATTTATGTGACAAAAGTCAAAATTACGAAATCCTCGAAAAAATTAAATGATTTACTGCTACACTGCAAGACAAAAGAATAACTTAATGATTTCTGTAGTTCTTATGTTCAAAATTTGATTTGCTTCGTTAACTGAGCAAAGTTTTTAACCAATGAATGAGGCAACACACGAATGGCAATGGGGTTTTCATAGGAAAGAGTTATGAGCTAATTGTTGTACGACACCCTGTATATTATTATCGATATTTTTGTGGAGCATCGAAAGACAAATCCAACGAGTATAATGAACATATACTTTCTATTATTTAATCTCGAGATACTTGCGTCTGAAATATTAAATAGTCAACTTTCAGACACAAGTATCTCGAGTTTAAATAATCGAAAGTATACAATCATTATATTCGTTGGACTCGCATTTTCACGCTCTAGAAAAATTTAGAAAATAAACAACGAAATTGTTCTATACCCCAATACCATAACTCGCAAAGCTTCAGAAGAACGATTTTCGGCGATTGAACATCATTTACATTTTTCAAAATTTCGAAGCTATCGATATTTTCTTCTTCGTGCGATCACGAGTATCAGAAATATATGCAAACATTTTATTGGACTCTAATTGGAAATAATTTATACATTGAAATAAAATCTTTACGTCTAATACATCGAAAGCTGTATATATTTTAAGTACAACAGATAGTCTCGTATCTGAAGGTTTATTTTTGAAATATCCTGATACCGAAACATTCCCCATTATCTAAGAATTTTATTCAAGTTCTCTGCCAGGTGATAACGTATCTAAATAATACAATGATTAAATAATGGTACGTTTGGGTACCACAAGATTGTAAAAATAAATGTTTAAATAAGGGAGCTTCTACTGTATATATTAAGTTAAATATTTTTGCTAACTACAATATTATATATTATATATTATATATTAAGACAAAATTTAAATTTAATACGTTAAAAGACAAATTAAATTAAAATCTTCAACGATAATTGCGATTGCTAATCAAATGTCTCAGATAAAATCGCGGTTCATTAATTGCATTAATCATTGCCTGACTCGGCTCGATACTTCGTATACTATAGTACAATTACGGTACAATAATGTATTACAACCAGCTGTGAATTTCATAGAATCGCGATTAGAACTCTAATTAAAGTTTCATAAATTTTTTCCTTTGTTTTCAACCGGATAAATCATCGACGCTAAGTATAAATTATACATCTACTCTTTGCTACTACTTATTGCGCAATCTTGGAGAATATTTATAGTCATAGATATCGCTATTCCGGAGGTGCTTACGAACGCGTTGTTTAGTTGCAGGTCTCACGCTTTCATAAATAATAATCACCTAAGATAAATATTCATTCTTAGTAGTAACTGTTGTTCCCTTCCAATCTTGCAAAATATATGTTTCGTGTAATCATACGTTCTATTTTTGACCTAATTCTATTATAATTTTTTAACTGAATTCGAAAGATGAATCTCGTATTTACATTACAAAAAGGGATTTCAAATAGTGTGAAAATAATAATATTATATAACAGCGTGTAAAATGTTTTCATTTGCTCAATTATTTCAAGTTCCAGCTGCTTTCGATTGGTCATTTCATTTGCTTAACATTTCCTTGTAAGTTCAATATTGTTTAAGATATTTAGCTGTTTTCTCACGTTTATGCCAAGGATAATTTTGTTTCTCTATTAAAATGACAACATTATTTATTTTCTGGAGGGTATTTTACTACATTTAAGAACATCATTTTACAAAGAAATGTTTCAAACAAAACTTGTGCATTTTTTCACGTAGAATATGATTCCGAATTAAAAAATATAGGTTTATCATAAAAAAATCAACATGACCTTGAAATAACCTTGAAAACGTCCACGCATTAGAAAACCAGTAGCGCCATTTGACTCCCCGCTCGAAATGCTGAAGGACGCGTATCAGTTCATTTTTTTTTCTTAAATCACGTGTCCACGAGATTTTATGAAATCTCAGCAATAAATGGGTTACCGTGTATAATAACAGTCCCGTGCATCACACTATAAACG